AAAAGAAAAAGAACAATTTTAAACTAACTAAAAACCTGTAGTAATCAAGACAGTACAGCAGTAACAAAAGAGATAAATGGAATGGGAACGAAACTTCAAAACTAAACAGCACATTCCTGGTCAGCAGCCAATCTCCAAGATGTCGACAAAATGCATGAAAAAAAAGGGCTTTCTTTTGATAACTAGTGGTGGGACAACTAGAAATCCATATGGCAGAGAATCTAATTAGATGGCCATCTCACAGAATAAACAAGTTAACTCAAAGTAGATCACAGGTCTAAAACCAAGACCTCAATTTAAAAAGGTAGTATTACATCTGTCCCTTGAGAGTTAGGGATGAAGCTCAGTGGTAGCATGTACTCACAGCCCTGGGTTCAAGCCTCAATACTACAAGTGAAAAAAAAAATTAACAAAACAACACTTTCAACTTTGGACTAGAAAAGAGTTTCTTAGACACAACATCAAAGTACAAAACACAAGGAAAAAATAGATATTGTGGACTTTATTAATTAAAACTAAAGTTAACTTTTAATGCATCACAGGAACTATCAATAAAGTAAAAAGACAACCCCAAAATGGAATGAAGTATTTGCAAATCATATAACTGGTACAGTTCTAGTATACAAAATACATAAAGAACTACACAAGAAACACACAACTCAGCAGCACCAATACATATGACTAATTTAAAAACTGGCAAGGACAAAGAAGATACAGACAGGCAAGAACACATGAAAAGAATGTTCAACATACTAATTATTAGAGAAATGCAAACATACTAGGATGGTTACTATAAAACAAAATGAGTAAGTGTGTTGCTACCCTCATACATTCCTGACAGAAATGTAAAATGGTATAAGTCATCACTGGAAGCGTCTAGCAAGTTCACACAAAGTTAATACAGAATTATTACATGACACAGGACTTCCACAAGAGAAATGAAATCACTTGCATACCCCAAATTTGTACAAATGTTCAAAATGCAACGCCCTGCACAGTGGGCAAAAGATGGAAGCAAGCCAAAAACCATAAACCTAAAAATGATTAAATAAAATGTGCCCTAACCTTACAATGGAATATTATTAAGCATAAACAAGAGTACCAATACAAGCCAAAAAATGGATGAACCTTGAAAACATCAAGCTAAGTGAAAAAATAGACACAAGAGCGGTATGCTAAGATTCCACTTACAGGAACAGTAAAGAATAAGCAAATCCTTCAAGACAAATCAAACCAGCCACTACCAGGGCTGCCAGTAGAAAAACGTCTTTAAGAGATACAAAGTTTCCTTGGTGATGAAATGTTCTGGAACTACACAGCGGCTGGCTGCTGCACGGCACCATGAAAATACTAAGTAAAGGAAAGCTGACCAAAGGACTGTACATTGATGGTCCCATTCACATTGATGGTCCCATTCACATGTCCCACCCAGAAGAGGCAAACTGCTAACAGTATAAAATGGAGGGAAGTGCGGCTACTGCTGAAGAGTGTCAAGTTTCTTCTCGGATTAGATACTGCTGTGGCCGCAAAACTCGGTGAATGCACTGAACGCCACTCAACTGTTTTTGTGAAAGGAAGAGTTTACAGTACGTGAATCTCGCTCAACTCAAAAAAGTAGAACTAGAACCACGCAATAGGGCTAACGAGTCCTATAAAATCATCTCATCTCTACTTTGGTATCCTACAAAGCCTGAAACAAGTCAGAGTGAATTATTTAAGATACTAACTTACTCAAAATACTAAAGCTTGTTAGTAACAGAGCCAGGATTAGAATATGATACTTCTACCTCAGTTCTCAGAAAACTGAAGAAGAAAAAAAAAAAAAAAAGCCAGAAAATTAAAAAACTTTTTAAGCCAGGCTTAATATAGAATATCTATAATTTCAATACTCTGAAGGATTGCAAATTGAAGATCAGCCTAGACTGCAAAGCAAGAGACCCTGCCTCAAATAAATAAACAAATAAAAACAACTTTAATGTAAACAGATATTATTCTTTTAAATACTATGTTAAAACCAGTATCCTGATATCCCAGCATCTCTGCTTAAGCTCCAAACCCTTCATTAATTAGTAATTTTGCAAATGTAAAAACATCAATTTCACTAGTATTTTAAAAAGCACTTAGAACAGCTAAAATTTTATTCATTTATCTATCATTCATAGATTAATGTTTTCATCAATTTAATTAAATATTACCTAATTTTTCTTTTAGAAAATACCATTACATAAAATCTTTGAAATTCTAAGCCAACTTTACAGTGCTTTATTTTATACTTTAACATGTTGAAAATTAATTTTGTGTGTGTGTGTGTGTGTGTGTTCGCGCGCGCACGCGCGCACCTGCATGCGTTTGTGAAGAAAAATCCATCTTTCCTTTTGTTGTTCTGAAGACAGGGTTTCACATAGCCAGGAGGACCCGTAGCTAGCTCGTTTAGAGGCCGAATCTGAAACCTTGTTAGTCCCCCTACTTCCAGCCTCTGGAGTGGCCGGGATTATGGACTTAGGCAGTACTGGTAATCAAATACAGGGTCTCTGTTATACTAGGCCAGGACTCTACCCACCGGATCTACATACCCAGCTGAGTATATTTTATATTAATTTTTTTCAAAAGCTACAAATTAGAGTTGGGAGCCTATGTTCCTTCCCCCGGTGGCTTTTGTCAGAGACTTGAGTACTCCAGTCAATAGGATGATGGAGGTGATCTTTGCAATTCCTAATCTGATAAAAACTGAACTGATTCAAATCATTGTTTCTTATCACTTAATTTGAATCGGTATATAATTAAACAAAGACAACCCAAATAGTGTATATGGTATTTATTATAAAAACAAGAGTTCTTATCTACAATGAATCCTCTTTCCACAGCTCCCTATAATCAAACACATCCCCTGACAAAAAAAAAAAAAAAAAAAGAGGAATGATAGTATTTTTCAAGTTTTATTACATTTGTCTATTTTTGTGTGGTTTCCAGTTTGAGATGGAGGTCAGAGGACAAATCCCAGGGTTCCTGGCCACTGTGTAGAGCCCTGGGATTAAAGTCAGATCATCAGGCTTGGTGGCAACTGCCTCTGCCCACTGAGCCACCTCACTAACTGATCACAGTTTTGTTCTTTACGCAGACAAGAAAAATCTTCTTCCATCACCTAAAATTATAACCTAATACTCTAGTATGATACAGAGTCAAAATAATCCCACTGACCATCATGTAAATAAAGAGCAACAACACACATGATCGTAGGCTTCTCTCTAGTATGCAGTTCTCATCATTTGGATGCAATTCTGGACAGAGTCTGAACGGGGGACTGGGATGGAGCTCAGTTTGTAGAATGTTTGTCTAGCAAGCACAAAGCCCTGGGTTCTATCCCCAGCACCACACGATAGCACACATCTAGGATCTCAACACTCGGAAGCGGAGGGAGGAAGACTTCAAGGTCATCCTACACAGAACAGTTTTGCTGTCAGGAGGCTCCATCCTACAGCTGAGATTACCCAGATTGTTCTGTCAATTACACGTTAGACTTTTTGACTTGATGGATAATTCAGAAGTCTCTCCTACTGACCTAATAGATTTTAGAGATTCTCTCTCCCTCTCAAAATATTTCATGTATGACTGCTCTGCATATATACCTGCAGGCCAGAAGAGGGCATCAGATCCCACTATAGATGGTTGTAAACCACCATGTAGCAGGGAATTGAACTCAGGACCTCTGGAAGAGCAGCCAGTGCTATTTATTAACTGATGAGCCATCTCTCCAGCCCCAAGATTTTCTCTTTCAAATCAGGGATAAACTCAGGTTCTGTCTATACCTTCTGAGTGATTTAAACAAAAATACTTCATTTGATCGGGTTGATTTTAAAGAATGAATCAGAGAAAATGTGGAAAGTTCTGAGCAAGTGGAAGTGGTGCCATGTGCCCAAAATCCCAGGACTGAGGTTACAGACACAAGAGGATGGCGAGTTCAAAGCCAGCTTAGGCTACACAGACTTCAGCTTTAAAAAACAAACACAAAACAAAACAAAAACCTCAGGACACCAAAAAGGCACCACTTTTAGACCTAACTAGAAATTAAGACTGCTACAGTAGTAGAGTTCTTTGTCTAGCATGCTCAAGGCATGATAAAGCTGTTGTTTCCCTGGGCCTGGTGAGGCAAGAGTATCTCAAATTCAAGGCTAACCTGAGTGTCACAGAGTTCTCACCAAAACCCAACACTAAATAAATATTAATGTTGTCTCCCAACACAAACTTACAAAGAGAACTTCATACACAATAGTAACATGGAGTGCAGTCACACTCAAATAAATTATTTGAGAAGCATTACTAAATGCAAACATCAATTCTCATTAAAGAAACAGTATTTCAGTGGCAGAGAAAGTAATTTGTAGTTACCTTGATCAGGTATTTTTCCCATCTGTCTGCTGTAACCGATTTGCCAATCTTCCTCATCAACTTCAAATGGAGCTCCACCAATTCTTTTGGTACTTAAAAGGAAGGACAAACTTCTGTTAGTCAACAAAATAAAACATTTACAAACACTTAACAAAATAAAATATTTACAAACACTTAAGATTTAAAAACACAAAAACAAAACCCCACTTCCTTTGGTCCTGAATCCTTTCTCAAAGCACAGAAAGCTGATGATTCTACTTTCTTTATCCCTGAATCCTGAAAAGCCTAAACTAGAGTGAAAAATGACTAACTACCATTTTCTGAGACCTAGTAGGGAATAGTTCTATTTCACACTATCATTAAGAATGAAACCTATTCTAAGCTAGAGTAAGTCACAGCAGTTCAATGGTCACAGCAGCCCCACACAGAGATCCACCTGCCTCTGCCTCCCAAGTGCTAGGATTCAAGATGTGCTCCACCACTGCCCGGCTTGGCATTGCTTTTTAAAAGGCTGAGAGAAGACAAAAATCACCACACAATAAGCATGCTTTTCATTCTGTTTACAAGTCTTGTTTATTTTGATTTAGGTATATAAAAACAGATAAGTGCCAAATTCATTTGGGTGCTGGCTCTTATACAGGGAAGCCTCATGTAAGTGGTGCCTGCAGTGTGGAAGAGTGCAGAGGGGCCTATTAAATTAAAATTCCTAACTCATTATTCAGTAACTGTGGTGGGTGGTCTGAATGAAAACGGCTCCCATAGGCTCACAGGAAGTGGCACTATTTGAAAGGATCAGGAGGTGTGGCCTTATTGGATGAAGTGTGTCATTGTGGGTGGGCTTTGAGGTTTCAAAAAACCCATTCCAAGTCCAGAGTTCCTCTTTTCCTGCTGCCTGTTGATCTTGACAAAGAACTCTCAGCTACCTCTCTAGCCTGCTTGCCTCCACGTCCTGCCATGACAATGAACTTAACCCTCCGAACTGTAAACCAGCCCCAGTTAAACGCTCTCCTTTATAAGAGTTGCTGTGGTCGGTACCTCTTCACAGCAATAGAAGACGGACTAAGATAGTAAGTAAATTTATTTAAGTTTTAGTTACAAAGAGAACTAAAATGTAATGATCTTTAGGGGCACTGTATTTGTTACCTGATAAACGGGCAAACACTTCCAAAGAAAAAACAGGTCTGGAAGATAGAAAGTTGGACTTAGCATGTGTGAAACTCTGGCTCTCTATCCTTAGCAACTCCCAAAATTAGCTTAACAATTATTAAAGCTGCCACACTGTGACACTGAACAGTCTCTAAAGCAACTGGTTAATAGAGTACTGTAGAATGACAGCATGTTGTGTATCTGCAATTTCCAACACAAGAGCCATTTGGCTACATGTGGCTACTGAGCACCTGATAAGTGGCTAGGGAAAGTGAGGAACTAAGCTATTTTTCAATTGTGATCTATATGTGTCTGTGTGGGAGTATGTACATATGAGTGCACGTGGCCAGAAGAGGCCACTGGAGCTTGGTTACAGGCAGTTGTGAGCCAGCCAACATGGTTACTGAAAACTGAACTGCAGTCCTCTGGAAGAGCAGCAAGAGCTCTTAACTGCTGAGCTCTCTCTCCAGAACCAGAGCTACGCTTTTTAGTTTTACTTATTCTTTTAACTTTTTCTTAATTATACTTATTTATGTGTACACACACACACACACACACACACACACACACACGCACGCACGCACGCACGCACGCACGCACGCACGCACACAAGCACGCACGTGTGCATAGAGGGGTCATGTGACAAAACGTATGCAGACCAGGCCGGGCTCCAATACACAGAAATTAGCCTGCCTCTGCCTCCCCAGGTCTGGGATTAAAGATGCATGCCACCATGCCTGGCTAAAAGTATCAATTATATTCTTAAATCACGTGACTATGTTCTATAAACTAACAAGCTCTAATTTTATTCACTTGTCAACTACATTTTCTAAATAACCTAACTCCCACAACATTATTTATTAACTTTCTTTTAACAATTTACTAACTTCAAGTCATTCTTTTCTGAAAAAATAAATAAATAAATAAGATTTTTGTCCCAATTGAACTAAGATCTCTGCCTTTTCCCACAGGAGATTTGAAGCATAACTATTATCAGATCCCTTCCCCAAGAGATCACAAGGTCTCAGGAGGTGAAAGATTCCACAGCAGAAAGAAAAGGTCAGGGGTATGGTGAAGAAGATCCTGCCAGAGGACACAGGTACGGAGCAGAAGGGGCAGGCTATACAGCTGACCCAGCTCCCCAAAGGTAACCCACACTGCTGTTTCTCCACGCATCCTTCTATCATGAAGTCTTCAAAATACTGCTGCTTCTACAAGTCTAGTCTGTTACTTGAGTTCTGATTTTTTAAAAAGTACGTTTGTTAGTTTGTTTTGTCTACATTGGGACTTTGCCTGCATGTATGCCTGTATGAGGGTGTCAGTTACTCTGGAACTGGAGTTACAGACAGATGTGGTTGCTGGGAATTGAACCCAGATCCTTTGGAAGAGCAGCCAGCTCTTAACCACTAAGCCATCTCTCCAGTCCCAAATTCTGCTTTCTGGATGGTATATACTTATAGCAGCTCCTAATGCCTAATCTCTTCCTCAGTCCTTTAAAAGTCCGTTATTTAAATTCCCTCTACACCTATGAGCAGAGACAGTTATTTTATCTTGGTCACGGAGGAGAGACCATTGATTTCAGACACAGTGGCTGAAGCTTTACTTACTGCCCAGTTCTTAAGAGACTGTTGGGGAGCAGAGTTTTAGAATAATGAGACTGATCCCCTCAGGCCACTTGATCCTTGTATTCATAAACCTTACCTTTAAAGAGTTAATTTAACCAGTCAGGTTAGCTTTCTGAAAAGCACAGAAAAGGCTCAAGACTGTGAACTATAGCTTAGACACCTGAAAAAGCACAAGGCAGAGATTCTAGGTAAGAATAATATAAACAACTACACTCCACTCATTAACATTTTCTAACAATGTATCCAAGGACAGCCACGAGGCAGCCAGGGGTCTAAGGAGTCTTTCCACTCCACTCTAGGTTTCAGAATTCCATTTCCAATGAAATTTCTGTTCTCATAGGTAAAGAAACACACCCAAAATAACTCAAATTACATCAAATCCAAAAGTGGGGATGTATTTACTATAAACAAAGTAATTGGTACAAATGCTAGATAGAATTTAAGGGAACCGGAGCTTGTAAAAACTGCAGTGTGGTGTGAAGCCACCCTCCTAGGGAAGGGGGAAAGGCCTCCAGGGCGAAGGAGCCCGCTTCTCCTTCAGTCTTAGCAGCGGGGTTACACCTTGCTTATGATAGTACACAGAATCCTAGCCGAGGCCGTTTGAGGTACTTCAGGCAAGATCTTCCAGCACCATGTGCTCCAGCTCTAACCAAGTGACCTTATTTTTCTTGCTTTTCTTTCTACTCAATTTAATAATCGCAAGAGGAAAGGGAGGGACCAAACAACTTAAAAGTCATCATATTAAGGGGAAGAAGGGATTTGCCACAACATTTTTCTCCAACAATTTCAAAGCTAGCTAAAAGCTGAAAGACCAGTACCAATAGAAACCCTTCACCTAGACGTACTGAGTGATCAAATTTTTGCCACATTTTGCAGAGTTAATGCCACCAGGAAATACCTCTCTATCAATACAGTTGAGAACAAAAGGATAAGCAGCAGCTAAGGAAGTCAACAAAGAGAGAAATGTGCCAGGTAAAAAGAAATGTGTGTACGGAAGTCTCAAGACAATCAAAAATGTCTAGTGTCCATGGGCACCAGGCTCAAACACAGAGCACATACATGCACACAAACACTCATACACATAAAAATAATTAAAGAGAGCCAGCAGCGGTGGCGCACGCCTTTAATCCCAGGGCTCAGGAGGCAGGGGCAGGCTCTGTGAGTTTGAAGCCAGCCTGGTTGACAGAGCAAGTTCCAGGTTAGGCTCTACAGAGAAACCCTGTCTCAAAAACAAACTAATAATATAATAAATATTAAGAGAGAAAAAGAATCAGCTGGGCACAGTGGTGCATGCCTTTAATCTCAGAACTTGGAGGCAGAGGCAGGCAGATTTCTCTGAGTTTGAAGATAGCCTGGTCTATAAATTGAGTTCTAGGATAGCCAAGGCTACACAGAGAAACCCTGTCTCTAAACGGCCCCCTTTAAAAAAAAAAAGAAAAGGAAAGGAAAGAAAAAAATGAATGAATAATGAAAAGAATCCTTCCTCCTGAAAGCAGTTTTTTAAAGTTTTATTAAACAAGGCTGTTGGGATGGCTTATTGAGTAAAAATACCTGCTACAACCCTGACAACCTGAGTTCAATCCCTGGGAAGGAGAAAACCAACTCCACAAGTTTCTGATCTCCACATGCATCATGGATACCACACACATGATGTGCACATGCACACACACAATCAGTCATTAAATAAGTGAAATAAAAAGATTTTTTAAAAACTTGTGCTGGGTGGTGGCAGCGGCGGCGGCGGCGGCGGCGCTGCTCGTCTTTAATCCCAGCACTCGGGAAGCAGAGCCAGGCAGATCTCTGTGAGTTCGAGGCCAGCCTGGTCTACAGAGCAAGATCTAGGACAGGTACCAAAACTACACAGAGAAACCCTGTCTTGAAAAAACAAAAACAAACAAACAAAATACTTGTAAAGTTATTTTGAAAACTTAACGTACTCATCCTTGCTCTTCTCACTGATGGTCTAAATACTTAACTCTCTGTACATAAATTTAATTGCCGTAAGTGAAAGTAAGACAATTGCTGGGCTAGGATGTAGCTCAGTGACAGGGCACCCATCTAGCACGCTGAGAGCCAAGTGTTCTGGGCCCAGCAACACATGCACACACAACCATGATGACAACGACTGGTTTAAATTTCTACACTGTAGAAGAAAACATATTCTTCTGGGTAACTTACTAAGACTAGGTCTCTCGAAGAACCATAAAACATCAAATTTGCAGGTACTTTTATTCATGACTGAATGAATTTTTGGATTGCTATTTGTTTCAAACAATACAAGAGCACCAAATATGTAAATATTTTTAAATAAACATGTATCG